GTAGGAACATGCAGAGATCAGAAGAAGTACTTAGTGCCCTAGAACTGGAGTTACTCATACTTGTGAGCTACCATGCAATGCTGGGCTCTGAAGCTGGGTCCTTGTAAGAGCACTCAGTGCTCTTAACCACTGAGCCATCTCTCCAGCATCTAATGAACAGGTTTTTTTTTTTTTATCATCTTTGAATCTTATATTAAACTTACGGCTTGGGGCCGGAGAGATGGCTCAGTGGTTAAGAGCACTGGCTGCCCTTCCAGAGGTCCTGAGTTCAATTCCAGCAACCACATGGAGGCTCACAACCATCTGCAATGGGATATGATGCCCTCTTCTGGTGTGTCTGAAGACAGCTACAGTATACTCATATAAATAAAATAAAGAAATCTTTAAAAAAGAATATATCAATCTATAAAGCCAATTAATAAAGATTATTTAAAAAAATAAACTTATGGCTTACTGACTGAATAATAGAAACTGTAGTAGTAAATTGCTTATCCATACCTAAACCTCAGAGGCATTTGCCTGAGATGGAGATGGAGAACAATCTTATCAGATTTCCTGCTTGTTTGGTCACATTGAAGAAGGAAGCAAGAAATAGACTATTGGTCTTTAATGTTGATATCAGGCCGTGTCCTACTTGAAGTGGCTCTATATCATGCAAACAGAGATTTCTCCGTTTATACCTTGCCCTGTAAAACTCCTTTTCACAAGCATATTTGACAAGCGTATTGAGGTTAGAAGATGACTATGCATCAGAATGGGGACATGCACCACTCACCTAACACAGATTGATAAATGGCTTATTCCTGAAGCAATAAGAAAGGTGACACTGTAAATTTGTCAGTATGAATTGGGACTGTAGAGGTACATGAGCCATATTTAAAATCATATCAGGACAACTAGGGCCAAGAACCTGCAGGAAACACCAGACCAAGGAAAGTTTGCTACACTTTCACCTGAAGTCTGTATGAAGGTGGACACCTTAATATTACTGTGGCAATGATCCCTACTAATCTGTCATTTGGCCACCTGGTATATGGAACAAGGAATTGACAGGCAGAAAACACCCGAGTGCCCCTGGAACCTGACATGGGCTACTCAAATGGCTATCTGCCTATCCTCCTGTTTGTTCTTCTGGACCTGTTGTCTGTCTATATTGTGGTTGTTTGATAGGTCTGGCCCCAACGGATTCATGTGTTTGGATGCTTGGTCATAGGGAGTGGCACTATTATGAGGTGTGGCCTTATTAGAGCAGACGTGACCTCGTTAGAGGAAGTATGTCACTATGGAGGTAGACTTTGAGGTCTCCTATGCTCAGGTTTCACCCAGTATGGAAGAGTCTCCTCCTGGCTGCCTTCGGATCAAGATGTAGAACTCTCAGCTCCTTCTCCAGCACCATGTCTGCTTGCACACTGCCATGCTTTCCACTATGACGAGAATGGACTGAACCTCTGAAGCTGTAAGCTAGCCTCAACTAAATGTTGTTCTTTATAAAAGTTGCTTTCATCATAGTGTCTCTTCACAGAAATAAAACCTGCATTAAGACATACATTATCCATTTGGTTGTCTGTCCTTGTCCTTTGACTTCTGAAGCTGGACTCAACTCAAGCTCATTTCTGAGCCTGCAGCCAAGAACAGCAACATCCTCACTCCGGAGACTTAGGCTGGCTGGTGACGTCAGGCCTTCTGCAGCCCACGTGACTCCTTCGCGTCAGCCTCAGCGTTGGCTCCTCATGCTTCCCTGTCTTTTCAACCATCCTGTCTTCCTCTCTGTCTCTCACAGGGATATAGGATATGTTATCTGAGAGTAAAAAATCGAAAATTAAAACTTTAATAAGGGAACCTGTGTTTACCTAAAGGAAAAGGAGCTTTAGGCACCGCACACGATGAACTATTATTACGCAGTACATCTTGACACTATGGAAGGAAACAACGTTCATCTGCGTTTCTGCCACAGCATGCTCACAGCACTTACTATGCCTCAGTAAGATCACTCTCAAGACCCTACACACAGAAAAGAAAAAAAAAAGCCTACTCCAGAGTTAGCTAAGAGCTTCGTTCTCATGTTTATTCAATTCCCAGGAAACGTTCAAGTCAGGTGATGAGCCAGGTGTGGAGATGTTTGTTTGAGGAGGCTCCTGCCCGTTTTCCTACAGAGCTCAGAACTTAGCAAGAAGGAGGCTGGTTAGAAAAACTCACTTCTTTCTAAACCATGATACTTTTACCCTCCTGCCTTTCAGTGTGTGTGTGGGGGAAGGATGTGCTGGCATCGAGGGTGCCTTTGCTTGGAAAGCTGGAGCTAAACTAGGCTGGGGGACTGTCCCCTAATTTAGGGAGAAAAGACAAGGTGTTCAGTACCCTAAGTTTGTACCGGGTTGGCTTCTCAGGTCCTGTCACCTCTGGGTAGGTTTTACTGACTCAGCAGGTGAGTTTCTAGTCCACACCCACATCCGCTCCTCTCTCGCTTTCTAGGGTCTTTTCTAGACAGATGGTATATTGCCTTTGGGGTCAACAAACTTTGCTTCAGGCTTGACCTCTAACTATAGCTGTATCTTCTTTTTTATTTCAGGCCACAATAAAAATGTCTAATATTTTAAATACCGCCGTTGAGCGACTTCTGCTGGGTGTGAAGCTGACTGAAGAAACTCCTATCAACCTGTGAATGAAACTCTCCCTTCTTAAAAGCTGTATTTGCATGTTAATAGCAACTCTTTAGCACGCATTAATTTCCCATTGGCAGAATGTGTAAATTAGTGTTCGTGGGAAGGGAAGGAGAGGAATTATTTTCTAATTTTCCATGTGTAAGAGTTGCTACTCTCTGGGTGTTGGCAGTCTCGCCTCTCAGTCAGTTTCCTCAGCATGACTCCCTCCTTGAAGGGGTCCTATTTAAAGGCTTTTTAGGTTAAATTCTGTGAATGTGTTTCAAGCACCTCCCTTAGCCAATCTGTACTTTCTTTTTTCTTTTTAAAGTGATCAATTGTAGACATTTTTTTTTTTTGCAAGTTACTCTTTTTTTCCCCCCTTTCCCCCTTCCCTTCTTCCTCTCACTCACTCCGGCCTAAAGGTTTTTATTTATTTATTATATGTAAGTACACTGTATTTATTTACAATAATTACTTATTTATAATAAATTACATATTTATTATATGTAAGTACACTGTAGCTGTCTTCAGACACCCCCTAAGAGTGCTTTGGATCCCATTACAGATGGTTGTGAGCCACCATGTGGTTGCTGGGAATTAAACTCATGACCTCCAGAAGAGCAGTCAGTGCTCTTGACCGCTGAGCCATCTCACTAGTCCCAATCTGGGCTTTCTACATGGTGGGTTACAACCACCTGTAATCCCAGTTCCTGGGGGATCTGACGCCCTCTTCTGGCTTCTACAGACATCTATATATATGCTGTACACATGCATACGTGCAGTCAAACACGCTGTCTTAGTTAGGGTTTTTATTGCTGTGAAGAGACACCGTGACCAAGGCAACTCTTATAAGGACAACGTGTAATTGGGGCTGGGTTACAGGTTTAGAGGTTCAGTCGATTATCATCAAGGCAGAAAGCATGGCAGCATCCAGGAAGGCATGGTTCTGGAAAAGGAGCTGAGAGTTCTGCATCTTGTTCCAAAGGCAAACAGAAGACTGGCTTCCAGGCCAGTCTGGAGGAAGGTCTCAAAGCTCACCCCTACAGTGACATACTTCCTCCAACAAGGCCACACCTACTCCATCCAACAAGGTCACACTTCCAAATAGTGCTGTTCGCTGGGCCAAGGATATTCAAACTACTACATACATGTATACATAAAATGCAAATAAATAAATATTAAAAAAAAAAGAGGTTAAGAATCACATGTGAACCGTTTCAACCCAAATGACAATAAATGTAGAAGGAAGTCACCAAATGTGATGAAGATGTGTGGAAACAGACCTTCACACAGTTCAAGTAGGAATTAATATGGTATAAACTATAAATGGCTCCTGTAAACATTAAACATGGGAATACCATTGGAGCCAGTAATTCTCTCTTAAGGTAAGTACCACAGCAAATGAAAAAAAAAAGGTGCACATACTTGCACACAAATGCTTGTAAGTAACATTATTTACAATAGTCAAAAGATGAGGATAGTTTTTTTAAAATGTGCATTTATATACAAGGGAATATAGTGCAGACATAGAAGAGAAGGAAGTTTTGAAATACTTTATTATGTAGATGAGCACTAGGACATTATGCATTATGATAAGGGAAGTGAACCAGATACGAAAGGACAAACATGAGTTCCAGCAGGAGAACACACAGAGACAGAAAGCTGTCAGTCAGGAGGCACAGGGCCTGGGGTAGTAGGAGGGAGATTGGTTACTTAATGAATACAGAGTTTCTCTTTGGGGAAACAAAATTTTTTTTTGGCAAGAGATAATGGTAATGGTTTTGCAACATTGCAAATATAATGTCAACAAAGTACCAAGTAAATAGAGCAAATGCCAAGTTTATTGCTGCCTGTCTTCTTACCACAGTAAAAAAGAATTGAGGGGAAAAAAAAGCAAAAAATTCAAACTATACTTCCATCCTGGCCTATTGCTTCTTTTCTTGGGAGTTGCATTATTATTATTTTTCAATTAAAATTTTAAGTTACGATTTAGAGTGTGTGTGTGTGTGTGTGTGTGTAAGTCAGAGAAAAACTTGCAAGGGTTGGTTCTGTTAGTTCTCTCTTTCCACCATGTGGGTCCCAGGCATCAAACTCAGGTTTTTAGGCTTGACAGCAAGTGCCTTTATCCACTGGGTTACCCTGCCAGCCTATTGGAACTATTTTAATTTTTACAGATCTAATTAGAACAGACAGTAGATGTTTAACTAGGATATGTAGAATAGAATACAAAATCAGAGGATTTAACTCTAGTGGTATAAATGACAGAGTTTATTTAAGGATCCAGAGTTTATTTTTAAAAATATTAATTTTATTATTTTCGTACATGGGTATGTGTCTCTTGTGTGCAAGTGGGTGCTCATGGAGGCCAGACAAAGATGCTAGATTCCTAGGGACTGGGGGTTATAGACAGATATGAGTGTTGGGAACTGAATTCCAATTGAAGAACAGCAAGGATTCTTAATCACCGAGTCATCACTCCAGCCCGAAGGATCCAGAATTTAAATTTCAGTTTCCAAGTTCAGGGTTTGTGTCCTTCCTATAGAAGAGTCATCACTGAATGTTGAGTTAAATAGAGCAAGAATAGATTTCTTGAAAACCTTGAAATTCTCCCCAGTGAATAGATAGAGAATGGGAGAAACCACAGTATTAAAAGAAATAGTCACCACTGCAAGTCCCAGTGTCAAGTGTAAAGGGAGTGGCTGGCTCTTAGTGAGGACCAAGCCACTGTATACATGGTAGGGCATCCAACACACAAAGAAAGAGATGACAGCAGTCAGCATGACTTTGAAGGGCTTGCTGGATTTAGAGTCCCTTCTCTTTCATCTTGGTGGCCACTCGTTTGTAGCAAAAGATGATGACAAGGAAAGGCAGAAGGAAACCCAGCAAGAAGCGGCCAATGAAAAAGGCTGCATGAATCTGTTGTCCTAATGTTTGATGCTCTTTGCTCTCCCAGTCAATAGACACAATGTAGTTATTCTGGCATTTAATTCTTCCTTTATGGTCATCATGTGTCTTCCTGAAAACTAAATAGGGTATGCTGAGGATAGTGGCAGAAATCCAGATTCGTGAGGCAATTCGGGAAGCCCTGCTTAAGGTTCGGTGCTGCTGGGACCACACTGGATGAAGAATGAGGTAATAACGGTCAACACTGATGGCCGAGAGGAAGAAAACGGAGGCAAACATGCTCACTGACAGAGTGCTGTTGAAGACTTTGCACAAGACACTTCCAAAGGCCCAGTGATTGTCCTGAAGGAAGGAGGTGGCCATGAAGGGCAGAATCAATGTAGAAATAAGATAGGAGAGAATGAGATGGAAAAATAAGAGAGTATTGACAGTCCTTTGCATCTTGAATTTCAGCATCCATAGATAGAAGCCATTGCTGATGGCACCGATTATAAATGACATGAACAAAGAAGCAGCAATGATTGTTTTGGGGACAGGAGTTGGAACACCAGTGCTGTTTGCTAATGAGGTAGACACATTGATCACATGACCAGAGGAGTTGATCCAATCCATAGTTACCTATGGAGGGAGAACAGAGTTAAAAAAAAAAAAGAACAGCAACAAAGATTAAATGGAGTAATTAAAATATTAACTTTGGTATAGCAGTAATCTGAAGGGTAATATTTGAATAGTGGCAAGCATATTATTTCTATAATAATGCTTTTCAATTATTTTCTAATGCCTACTCTCTATCAGGAATTAAGATCAGATCAATTTTATTTTTAAAATACAAATACTCCAGATAATATGCATTAAATAAACATAAATAGTATCCCCTCCTAGCAATAATTGGATTTGTCTAAGCTTAAGATGCTACAATTACTCTCTCCTCCAGCCGAGCAAAATGCCCAAAGGAAAGAAGGCCAAGGGAAAGAAGGTGGTCCCGGCCCCCGCCGTCGTCAAGAAACAGGAGGCCAAAAAGGTGGTCAATCCTCTGTTCGAGAAAAGGCCGAAGAACGTTGGCATTGGGCAGAACATCCAGCCCAAAAGAGATCTAACACACTTTGATAAATGGCCCCACTACATCAGGCTGCAGCGGCAAAGAGCCATCCTCTATAAGCGGCTCAAAGTACCTCCTGCCATTAACCAGTTCACCAGGGCTTGGACAGGTGAACAGCTACTCAGTTGCTTAAGCTTGCCCACAAGTACAGGCCAGAGACAAAGAAAGAAGCAAAGGCTACTGGCCTGTGCTGAGAAGAAAGCTGCTGGCAAAGGGGACATCCCAACTAAGAGACCACCTGTCCTCCGAGCAGGAGTCAATACAGTCACCACCTTGGTGGAGAACAAGAAGGCTCAGCTGGTGGTGACTGCCCATGATGTAGACCCCATTGAGCTGGTTCTTTTCCTGCTTGCCCTGTGTCGAAAGATGGGGGTGTCCTACTGCATCATCAAGGGAAAGGCCAGGCTGGGTCGCCTGGTCCACAGGAAGACATGTACCACTGTTGCCTTCACACAGGTTAACTTGGAAGACAAGGTGCTCTGGCTAAGCTGGTGGAAGCTATTAGGACCAATTATAATGACAGTTATGACGAGATTCGCCACCACTGGGGAGGCAACGTCCTGGGTCCTAAGTCTGTGGCCCGAATTGCCAAGCTGGAAAAGGCAAAGGCTAAAGAACTCACCACTAAACTGGTGACACAGTTAAATGTACACTAAGTTTTCTGTACATAAATATAGTTACAAAATTTAAAAAAATGCTACAATTAGGTTTACTTCATAACCTAGTTATGTGGTGGTATTCTAATAGTTAGCATAAAACAGTAAGGACTGACCTTCAAGAGGACTCCAGGGCTACCTACCACAAGATTGTCAAATGCCTTTCAAATTACACCTATAGAGAGGAAATGTGTTTTAGGATAGAGGAAGTAACTTCTTTCTTGGGGAAGGGAGGAGAGAGAAAGATGTAAAATAATTCACATTTATTCAGTATTTGTGAAAGCCAGAATCTTCCTAAAAATAATTTCTTTGATTTTTTTTTTAATAAAGCCTATGAGGTATTTTTTTCTTCCCTCCTTCTCTCTTTCTCTCTCTCAGTTGCTTCGTTCTGTTTTGTTGAGACAGGTCTTATACAGCCCAGTCTGGCCTCAAACTTGTCAGGTAGCCAAGGATGTCCTTGAACCTCTGAGGCTCCTGATACCACATCCAGTGTGTTGGGATTTCAGATATGGGCTTCCACAAACAGTATTGAGGCAAATCTTCAAGCCGAGGAGAAAATAGGGCTTAAAATGGTTAAATTTCTTCTGTCCACCCACATCTTCCACCACAACTCCACTGTGGCACACGAGGATCCTGTCTGAATAAAACAGATACTATATTCCCAGTGCAGAGGCAGAGGTGGGGCAGAGGGGCTGAGGGGCAGAGGGGCAGAGGGGTAGAGGATTCCTGGAGCTTGATAGTCAGCCAGTCTATACTAATTGGTGAACTGCAGACCAGAGAAAGGTATCATCTCAAAGGAGGTGGACTGTCTACCTAAAGATGACACCAGAGGGGTTTCCTTTGACCTCCATATATGAACACCCACACACTGAAAAGAAAAATGAAATGAAACTACAGTTTCCTAAAGTTAAAAAAAAGCCTTCTAGGCAGGCTCTGTGGCACATGACTCAAATTCTAGCACCTGGGAGGCAGAGGCAGGTGGATCGTTGTGTGTTCAAGGCTGGCCTGGTCTATATAGTAAGTCCCCAGACAGCTAGGGCTGTGAAGAGAGATTAAAAAAGTCAACAAAACAAAACAATCAACCAACCAACCACAAACAAACAAATAACCACCTTACCCCAAAAACCAAAAACCAAAAACAAAGCAAAACAAACAAAACTTCTAAGGTTCTGCAAAGCAAAAAATGGTTTTTTTTTTTTTTTAGAAAAATACTTTAGTAGTCTGGTTTAGGAAGAATGAACAGTGAAGTTATGGATTAAACAATGGTGAATGTAAAAGCAACACTCAGGGAAGAGGTTGTGTGAAGGTCCTGGGACCCAAGAGGTAGGAGGAGGGAGGTGATCTTAGATACAGGAAAAGCCAGGAGCCGAGCAGAAAGGATGGAGGCAGAGAGTTCTGAGGATGTCAGCAAGGGCCTTTCTAGCACTCATTTGCAGCCCACTTGCTGTGCCTTTTTGTGTAAAATGCTGTCCTGTTAACCTACAATTAGCATGGGTTGGTGGCTGTACTGGGCAGCAAAGGAAAAGAGCTTGGGTTCCCTATTTGAGGGCAGATGGGGAGAAAAGACCAGCTGTGGCAACAGAGATGTAACAAACATGTTGGCAGGAAGTGTGTAGATGCTGGGGCTTGAGTGGATAGGAGAAACAAGACCCTGGAGGCTATCCCAATCCCTCACTCCTGTGTGCGCACGTGCGTGTGTGCGTGTGTGTTTAGAATGCCTGTGGCCTGTGCATCTGTGGTGCATTTGTGTGTATGCAGGTGCATATATAATCTACATGTCACTGTGGGGTGTACTTTTATCTATAAATTGTATATCTGAAGTTCTGTGTGTGCCCATGTGAGTATCTGTGTATGTCATCTATAGTGTGTTTGTGAAGTGTGTGTGTGTATGCTATGCATTGCTTAAGTATATGTCTGTTCTTGTGTGTCCGTCTGTGCAAATGGTGCACGTGTGGTGTTGAGTGTGTTTGATATTTCTCAATGTATATGCATATGGAAAGCTGAATTTTTGGAAGCTTTATTTGTTGAATTGTGAGGCTGAACTCTAGACAAGTGTCTGAAGTTAATACAAACTTAAACAACAGAATGAAATCTTTGTTCTTTAATTGGAACTGGTGGCTCTTTACATAAGGTTCTTGGGAGCTTTAATGTATTGCATATACTAAGAAAATCCTTCATGATTTTTAGCATTAAAAGTATACTACTGCCAGGTGTGGTGGCACACGCCTTTAATCCCAGCACTTGGGAGACAGAGACAGGTAGATCTCTGAGTTCCAGGCCAGCCTAGACTACAAAGTGAGTTCTAAGAAAGCCATGGATACCCAGAGAAACCATGTCTTGAAAAACTAAAAAAGAAAACGCAACAGTGTATTAGTATTGTGTGCATGTGATGGATATGTGTGGATGAAGGCCCACATGTGCCACCGTGTGATGCAGAGGTAAGAGAAGTTCTTCATTCTTGAACATCTTTTAAGATGGCTTGAAGCACTGGAGTATAGTTTTGAGCCTGCTAGCTCTGTGGCCTCTTCCACCCCTTAGAGTTGTTATGAAGACTGAATGGAACTGTGGACTTACTTAGTGCCTTGTATGGCTGATGACAGTTTTTAGTGGGTGTTTGTTTGTTTTTGTTTTTTTTAAGTTTTTTGAGACAGAGTTTCTCTGTGTAGCCCTGGCTGTCCTGGAATTCACTTTGTAGACCAGCCTGGCCTCAAACTCAGAGATCTGCTTGCTTCTGCCTTCCAGGTACTGAGATTAAAGGTACATCCCACCACCACATGGGTAATATTCATTATTTAAACACATCTTTTGCTCAGCTTGTTACAGTAAAGCCAGTCAGAGCCACATTTAACAATTTTAAAGCTACAGAGTCTATTTCTTTCTTTCCTGAAGTACCTGTACTGGACTCTGGGAACCTCTGAGAGTCTATCTTCTCAAGCTACGATCTCAGATCTTCTTATCTTGAAGTGCTGGTAACTCTTTGGCTGGAACAACTTCCAGACCTTCCAGAGCTCCTGGAGATTCCAGAGAACAGTCCCTTCGTACAGAGACACTGAGCTGCTTTTGGGGGGGAAAAGCCTCAGGAACCTCAGACTAGCTGTTCTTTAGGAAGCTGAGAAAACTGTTGGGCCCAGGATCTTACCTCAGAGCTGTCTTTATACCAAGTAGTCTGAGATGCCACAGTGGCCAACAATCTTCTCTCTAGGGGAAGGGAAACAATGGAGATTCTGCCTTTATTTTGTCCCCCTCTCCCCCTCCCCCCGCTGGTAGATGCTACTCCTTAGTCTTACCTTTGAGATGTTCAGAGTCTTTTAGCTCCTCTGGTTCTCCTTTCTGTAGAACATACCACTGTGGAGGTGGAGTCCAAGACAGAAGTACTTCTCCAAACCATTTCTCCATTTCAAAATGAGAGTCAAAAAAAATTCTGTGATCAATCGTTTCGGTTAAGGTTAATAGGATAATTTCAGGTGTTAGAACACTGGTTTAAATGATATCCTCAGGTTTGGTTATTTCATCAGACAGGTTTGATTCTGGGGATTTCATAGGCTTATGGACCATCACCGTTAGATACACAGCAAGATGGTAAGAACGAGACCCCGGTGGTATCGAATCTGGAACTTAGCTATCTGATCTTGCTGGAGAGAAAATTGTTAGAGTGAAAAACTTAAAACTCTGGTTCTCAGACTCAGCAGAACGAATGTGACAGACCAAAGATTGCTGTCGGTCAGTCTGGAAAGAAGTGTGACAGACAGAATAGTTGCATCTGGACAGTCGCTGGAGGATAACAGAGCCAGCTCCTTATCTTACAGCACGGTGGTCTCTGTGAACCATTGCTGCCTCACTCCTCTCTCTAGCACACC